AGAGTTGGGAAAAGACACTGTCTCATTCACCTGAATTCCTGAAAAATGGTATGAACAGAAGCTACCATACAGACAGTGAAGAGAGAAAAGTGCTTGTAAGCACTACTGAACCCAGATATAGCTCACACTTGATATTTAATGAGGCTCCTCCAGCTTTATCATGTGGTAATGATCAGCTCACTGCCTCCGCAAGCAAGAGCCCGGTCACAGAACAAATATCTGTGTGTTATTCTGGCGCTGCCCCAAGTATAGAGACACAGGGCTGACCACTTACATACCAAGGAGAAGAATAAACCCAGACACATACTGCATTGTTCAGAAAGATGGAGAGACAGCTCAAACTGAGCTAGCAAGCCAGCTGCTAGTTTGAAGGGAAGCAAGAGCTCTCAGCTCTCAAAGAGTCAAGAGGAGACAAGAGGCCAACTGCACTGCCTTTATCTGGCAAGCACACCTCAGGTCTCTCCATCTAGTTTTCATGGCACTTGAGGCTAGATTCAGAACTTGTGGCTCAGGTGTGAAAAACCTCTCACTCCTGTTCCAAGATACACTAAACAAAGCAATTAATCTAAACCGCATCTCATTTCTTCACCTTGGCTGAGCCTTTCATGCCATAAAGGGGACAAGTAGATACGGTCTGATGTATGCTCTGGGGATCCTCATACATTGCCACAAGCATCCAGTCTTCCCCCAAAACCTCATCCGAAGAGCAAAGCTGCCACTTTCCAGATAGGAGTCCCACACCTAACTGCCTAGCTCCAAGCAAAGCCCCCTGTTTTGCAAAGACTAAGTCTTCTGCTCCAATGTACTCACCTGGGTGACAGAATATGCCAGAGACAGCACTGTAGTGATTGCCAGAACACGTTTCACGCTTGACTTGCTCTCCAGGTGACCTGGAATTAAGGAATACAGAAGTGACTCAGGATGTGATCCCAGCCCTGATAAAAATCAATTCTCTCCAAAAGCAATACAGAAAAACATTTGTATTTCCAGAGGCCTTCAAGGGAAGGTTAAAGCTCACTTAACTGCTAGAAACTGCTTCCCTGTTTGGAGAGTTTGAGCCTTTCACAGACAAGTAACTTAGAAAACAACAGGTTTTAACTTGCTTTCCTCCTGCCCACACTAAGAGAAAGCAACTAAGTCCTTCTGCTGGGGTTACAAAAAAAAAAAAGAGTCAGGAATTACTCCAGTATCATGAACACTGAGATGTTGTAAAGTTTCTTCTCAGGAAAAAAGTTGATGGGAGACTGGGTTAGAGCAGGGGAGAAGGTCGTACATAATTTAAAGAAATCTGCACTGGAATATGCTGGAGCACACAATCTCCAGAAGTTCCTTCCAACCTAAATTATTCTATGAGCCCTCAAAAGGTGAAAGAGCTAGTGCTCAGCTGTCCCACTGGCAGATGCAACAGTGACACCTACCAATCCCTCCCTTCTACCTCTGACCCACAGGAAGAGGTGCTCCAAACAGCATCTTCACTTGTACAACTGAAAAAAGTAAAGTTACAGATTGCAGGTACAGTTAAAGCATTTTAATGAAGCCAGGATGGAATCAAGCCAACCAAGGAGGGGATAGAAGGACCCCCAAAGGAACCACCTTAAATAAAATAGGGTTGAAGCAAAGATCAAACTGTTGATCTTTGCATAAGTCATCTTCACCTAAGCTGTACACTCCTTCACCACATGCATGCAGGACAAACAAAGCACATATAAACCCTGAAATTGCACAAGCCATAGATCTGTAAATATAATCAGGCTTTCAGCCATTTCTAACTAAAACTGCCCAATTTGTCCTTTGTCTTTATTCTAGAGCTCCTTCACTTTATAGAATCAGCATCTCCACAAACTTAGAGATGCAGCCTCTGTGGAAAGAAAGGGAATAGGAAACATTAAAAGCACTCAAAAACCTCCTGACACGTACCAAAGGCAAGGCCTAGAATCACCACACTCAGTTCAATCGCCAGAAGGAAGAACCTTGTGATCTCCCAAAGGATCTGAGGGATAACAGAAACCAGACAAACATGATTAGATGGTGCCAGGAACCAGTCGGAAGTTAATACAGCAAGTACATCCACTCTCCACTCCAGGGGATGGCAGCTTCTGAATGGAGCAGATCATTTCCACAAACCTTCCTCATGCTTTGTAGGGATGCTAATTATATGCTTGTTCCAAGCCCTGTCCGTGCCTGTGAAACAGAACAGTGGTATGGGAGCAAGCAAATAGCATGCCTACAGAGAGAGGAAGTGGCCATGGTTTGCCACACTTGAGAATCTCTCACTTGTCTTGGATGTGTTCTTTCTGCTGTATTCCCAAGGAGCACAAACTCCAGACGACCTCAAAAGTATAATATTAAACAGGGCCAGTTCTTAAAGCAGTTGATTCTGTAGTACAGTTATGACTGAACAAACTCAGTACTCTGCACTACTCCAAAGCTACTGATCTCTAAATCTAAAGCACATTCAACTCTAAAGCCCTCCCACTTCCGGCTTGTCATTTTCATTCCCATATTTTATTTGGTGATACAGGACCAAAAAAACAGCGGGTGAGGCAACTTTCCAGGTAGTCATGCAATAAGTCAGTGCCAAACCTAGAACAAGAATGCAGATTCTGGCTTATTAATCTTTTTCCTCTGAACACTGAATGGCACTCTCCCTTGAAGATACACAATATTTTAAAAGGCATTCAATGAGACACTTCTAATCTCAGAAAATAAACTCTGTGTGTGTGTGTCTGTGTGTATATATATGAGAAAACAAAAGAAACATAATAGACATGATAGAGCATGTGTTTACAGGAAAAATTGACAGAGTATCTGCCTTACTGCATGACTTCCCAGCAAGGTGCACTTAGCAGCAACACCAACAGAGCTGAAGAAAAGCACCTTCTCACCTCTTCTCCATTATTCAAGTCCTGGACCTACATCTATTCAACAGAAATGAATGAAAATGCTACAAACATCCAGCCACTCACAACAAGCAGTACATTACAATGCTTTGACATATAAAAGGAAAAGCAAAAGAACCACACTGATCCTGGAGAATAAAGCCAGAAGACCTGTACTCTGTAGGCAGCTCTTCTTCCTCTGTTCAAGAGCTACAGAGCTTTTTGTTTTAGGTAATATTCTGCCACAGGTCAAATGACTACAAAGGAACAGCACGTTACAAAGCTATTTCCTGTTTGCTAAGGGTTCACCCTGTGCTCAGAGTGGCTGCAAGGACGTTCAGCTATCAGTCTCAAAAGAGAATTTGGTTTTATTTGCTTTCAATACAAAAGAATTAAATATTTTTCAAAGAGCCACTCCTATATTGCCAAAGTAACAAAGGCCAGGTCTTGCCTATTCACTAAAGGTATCTGAATGTTTAGCTCTTGCAAAGCAGAGTCATTCCATCTCTGCAACAGGAAAGTTTGGCTGCCACTATTTTTGTGTCTATTTTAGGAAGTCCATTGTTTTACAGCCCTGGATGTTGTGATCATTTAGATACAGCTATCAGAACAGGATTCCATAGTACACATAGCTATGAGTACTGCAAAAAACCACATTCTTCCTGTATGCACAAAAAGGGAAGCCGTAGCAGATTGCTGTGATCAGAACTGCACAAAGCAGAGCCTCTAAATTCAGTGTTGTACCTACCTTATCAGCAACTGTGGCAGCATCAGAGGCACTCACAGTCATGGAGACAACAGCACGGGCAATACCAACTAAAGCTACCACAAATACCTACACAAAAAGATACCAAAAATGAGCTCATGTCAAAAGGCACATACACAGTAGTGACCAGAAACCCTTTTGGAATACCATTTCCAGGTCAGCTTTCAAGCCTGATAATGTGTACTAAGGATTTCCTGTAGCAGATTAGAGTTAATTTGCTGAAGAAGATTCCTCAGGCCTGTTAGATGTAGGAGTACTGGCTTAGAATTTAGGAAGAAAAAATTCTCAACTGTCAGATTAAACAGCTCTGAAGAGGTCTCATCCACTCCTTACAACAGTATCTTTACAGGCAAACAGTCTTCCCACCCTTCAGGGGTGGAAAAAAAACAGACAAAAACATATCCCTCCAAATGACAAGATCAAGTGCTTGGTATGACTGAATAAACCAATCACATCAGATAACAGAAGCCACTCGATACCAACAACCACACCTCAGATCTGTGATAAAATTAAAATCTGCAGTTCTCTCACTCAACACTGACAATGCTCAGGAATGCAGAGGAAAAAAGTCAGCTGCAGCCAACAGCTTTACATCTTACCCTGCTGCACAGTGCAACATAGAGATACCCAAGTCAGCTCATGCACCATTTAACAGCATGGAACTCAGCAAGGCTAATTTACGAACTCCTGTGCTGTCACAGCCATACTATGCAATTAAGAGCTCAGCTGGATATATCTACCTTCTGCTGTGCAGATTTACCCTCTAAGAAAGCAGATTTTTCCAGATAAAATTCTCCGAGTCACAGGCTAATTCTAATGATGCAGGTATAAGACAGCTAAATCCATCAGAGAACGAAAAGAGTCCAAGCTCATTCTAAGGTAGTTGAAGAATGGAAATGACCAATAAGCCACCAGCAGAATGTTTCCTTCTTAGACAAAGAAGGGATGCAAATGGCATGAAAGAATAATAGATCATTCCGCCTGGGGTGGAAAACTCTGGGACAAAACACTGACAAAAAAGAAGGGTCCCTGAATATAATGGTATTCTGGAGCAGCAACAACTCTTTGGAGAGGAAAGCACACCCTTTTTGCTTCCTCTTTAAGTAGGCAGAGACTCTTCCCAATCTATTAACTTAGCTTTAATCACTGACTCCACAAGAAAGCTTTCCTTCAAGATGTGACAGCCATTTGAAAGGAAATCCTCACAGAACACACTTACATCCTCATTTCCCAATAACATACTCCAGAAGATCAAACCGAGTGAAAGCGTTTTTTCCTCTAAGGCTGTTTCATCACTTTCTGCTTCTCACTCCGTTTTGAAAAAGTCAACAGCATAAAGTCAATTCACTTTTTTCTTCCCTTTGGTTTCTCAGGAGTTTTACTTTTCAAAGCCTTTGGCATGAACTTCTTACTGAGTCATGTGCATCACTGGAAGCATAAAGGAAGACTTAAATCCAGACTGGAAATGGCTGGTAATATTTTTAAAAGTTTGGAGCATTTGTGTGTATACCTGGTTATGCAAAACTCTGCACAAACCCAGTGCCCACACTCCAGGCCTGAAAGAGCTAACAAGACTTCCCACCAAAGATTCAGTTGAGGCTACTAGCTTAGATTTGGTTTTGATGCTTCTTGGGTTTTGCCATGCCAGTACCTGTACACAGCCCAAAGGAGGATGCCTCCCATCTAACCCAATTCAAACACACATTTACTTCTACAACCTGTATTAATCTCACTGAGGAAGAGGAAGCACATTATGCTACACACTGAGGCAAGCCAGGATCTCAAAAAGCACCTATGATAAAGCTTCTGAATGATATTTTTAAACAAATTCCAGTAGATCCTTAGCTGCATTTACCATGCCCTGTGAGCAGTACCACTGTTAATAGGTATGATGTTCAGAGATTATTAAAGAGACTACCTTAATGTGAGCAAAAGTTGCCTGTGCCTTTTTAAACTGGGGAGAGGAGAACAGACAAGATCTTAAATGTTTGAGAACTGTAACTGTACTGCCTATATATTCTGTTTCCACCTTGAGAAGTATCAAGAACATCATCAAGTCAGCAGCCACGTTGATATGATGGGAAAGAAACTAACAGCGTTGGGTTCCTACATTCCCAGACTAACCAGAACCCTGTCACATCATCATTTTCTACAGCAGATGACCAAGCTTTTCAACAGCTTCACACAAATTATTCTCCAGTGTTTCACTTTCACTACCTCAAGAAGTGAAGAAGCTGGTTTTGTGTCACATGCTACTTACTGCAAGGAGCAAGGAAAGTGTAAAATACTAGATTCCAAGACAACAAAGCAATAAAAGAAAAAAGGAAAAGAAAAAAAAAAAATCACCACAGGAGAACAAAATCCACTCAAATCAGCAGATATGGTCCCAGAATCTGTGAAAAGCAGAATTCAGACAGTGAAAAAAAAAATATCTGTGTCTACTTCTTGTGGTACACCTTCAAGTAAAAATGGATTTTATCCCTGCAAGATCTGGTCTAGGCTCTCTCTCCACTAGTTCAGTGATATTGTTCATGAGTGGTAATAAAAAAACACTCACTCATCAGTTCAAAAGCACAGAGCGGTACTCACTAGTATGTAGAATGTAGTGAAGATTGGGCTGGAAGTGACACGGATTTTGGCCCTGGCAGAGGGCAGCTTCCAGAGAAGAAACATAAAGAAAAGCACATTGGGAACCAGGAGCAGAAGATCCCAGTAGCGGACTCTGCAAAAAGTAAATAAAGCAATTTTTTTCCTGCTCTTCATCATCTAGAAGGGAAGGCACCAGCCCCAGTCCCTTCTCAACCAAACTCTGAGAAAGAAAGCTCTTTCCCCCGGCTCAGGGTCAGACCGTGGTCCCATTTCCTCTGTCTCACCTGGACTTCCCAATGTCCTCATAGAGCAACAACAGGCACTTGTGCGGCACAGTGATGTTGGTGTCATTGATTGCCTGCATTGTTGTTGGGGACAAAGTTGTCACATTATCCAGTGCTGTCACCAGGGCAGTCGAATATGTGATGTTGTCAGACACGGAGAATCTCGTCACAGACATGGACTGGAACATCCTGCCTTCCTTCTGGTCCAGGTCAAACATAGCACAAGACAACCACAGTGGAGACAAAAAGAAACATTAAAACACTTGTGAGTCAGAGCTGAAAAATACACCCCTGCCATTAGGCCTCCGCACAACTGCTTCCTGCTTGTTACAGCAAATTATCACCATCTGAAAGACTATTACACAATGAAATGCCACCTGCCCTTACTCTGCACATAGCCATTAGTGCAGACAGTACAAAAACACTATCTTGTATCAGAGTAACAAGCACCTTCAAAATAGTGTAATACTATGCTGGATTAAATTTTGTGATTTTTTTGAGCTTTGGCAGATTCACAGAAGAAATCAAGATTCAGCAGCAATACATGGCATCATCAGATGGAGACAGAAACTCTGCTGTACCAGAACATTAATTATCATTCTAGCTCTCAAGATCAAGAAGTTACAGTCAATTATTTCATCTCAACTATTGCAAAGAAAAAACGAAGGCCCCTACCTAAAACCTGTTGCTGTTACCAACCCCACAGTCTGACAGCAGGGAAAGCCTCAAGTACTTTTACCTAAAGGGACTGTACAGACTCTATCTTCCAAAATGAACACTGGCAAAAGCCCAGATTCAGCATTTTTCTTCTAACCCGCTGCAAGACACCAGAACTATTCTGATTTTAAGCACAACAGTCAGGCGCTGTGGAAAGACAGCGCCTAAAATCCTGTTAGCATAAAGTTCTCCGGCTTCTTTACATCCACCAGTCTCAATTGCATTGCCCTTCTCAGACACAGATCAGCATCATCACTGGTAGTTTGCAAGCCAGAACCAGGCACAGTCCTATCTAATGGGTTTCCTAAGGTCAAATTCTCAGGCAGCAGAGAGCTATGGTCAGAATCAGAAGAGTCATAGCACTCACTTTTTTGCCTGCCCTACTTTACACCTCTCCTGCCTCTCAGAAAGATAAGATGGAACTTCCCATTCCTCGATGAAACGTTTTTGTACTGCTTTCCCTGAGAGAACTTTTCCACCATCTGTCCATCCCCCAGGCCCTACACTGCTGCAATATTAACTGTCCCTCCAGAAGTTAAAGGGAAACTGCTCTGCCATCCATAAAACTCCATGTACTTCATGCCCATGCTGGTGGCTTTGGCAGAAACAGCAGCAGCAGCAGTTTATCCCTCTGTTGGTTCTACAATCACCTTGGAAGTTTAAGTGGATTATGGCACACAGTACTTTAGATCAGGATTTAGTATACACTAGAGTCTTGACCTGATTCACGTCAGTAAGCTTGCTCCTGATTCAATGTATCACCTTGTGCAAATTCTCTCCTCTTCCCACCCTAAAACAGCAACCCGCACCCTTAAGGCACTTCACTAGCTACGAGCTGAATGCAAACACAAAGTCCTATCATCTCTCCCGGCACTCCCCAAAAAAGCGGTCACAGACAACACACAGATTAAAAAAAAAAAAAAAA